AGTACAGGTCCATTTACCAAAGAGTCTCATACTTTTCAACTCCCACATAATTTACTTGTTAGGGGTATTATGGCTGAAATCAACAATGTTAATATTTCCCCAGTATCGATATATTACAATATGACACATGTAAGCAATGCAAAATAACCTGTACAATCAATTTTTATTGAATTGTTACAAATTATGTATGTTTTTTTTTGATGGGGTGGCGTTCTCCAGTCACTCTTGGTTGGCATCAGTCTCTTCACACTCACAACTGTCCCCTTTTTTTAAAAAAAAGGAGCTAAAATGACTTTGAAGCAATCAGACAGTGTGATCATATCGTCACTATATGACCCTGAAGGTTGACAGTGATGTCTGACTGCAGGCAAGGAAGGAAACACCTGCTTCACTATCACAAGGAAATTGACTGTGATTCTGGTGCTAGCACGTCAATAACATGTTCCACTGACCAGATCAGAGAACCGGGAAATCAATTATTTGACCGTCCCCAGCTGACCAAACAGCTCTGAGTCTCTTTGAGTCATGATCGAGCGTTCAGGACCCCCTACGGTATATTAACACTGTTCTTTCCTGCTCATCCCATTGTTTCTTTGTCAGCTAAATTTCAGGTTGTGTTTTGTGCGAAGGGTTGGACTTTAACTAAATATAATTTATGCTTCTTGGCAACATGCTTTAAAATACTTCATAAATGTACAAACATCAGTTCACGTGTCAACATTGTTCATCTGTGTGTCCTGTCTCGTCCTGAGAAGAGAGCAGCAGCTGGTGGCTGGATAATGATGGATACAAGAGATTTTTACTGATTCACTGACTTTGAATTGATTATGTGTGTACAGAACATTTTAGTCATTATTTATTGGGACTTCATCTTGTTTTATTAGTACACTGCACTATTAGCACTCTGATCCTAGTTACATACTGAAATAAAGCCCTGTAGTTATGGAAACACTCAACTCACATTTCTCACGATACTGTTTGTTTTGAACAAAATAAGACTGAAGACATATTATGACTGAAAGATATTTATTTATTTATTTATTATTTCTTAGATAAAAATCTACAAAATAATTTTTTAAAATCAAATTATAGAATCTTTTTTTATTTTTGGGTGTAAACTGCAGAAAACAATTCATATATAATTGTCTTTGTAAAAGTGAAACTGACGTCTTTGTGCCTTGATACCCCGACTAATATCATAATTTATTTTTCATCTCACCAATTTGAGTCTTCACATATTTGTATTGCGTTTATGTATTTACAAATCCTACAAGTAATAGTTTGTGCTTGTTTTGTATTAATAGAGGCTTAAATGATATGATACATTTAAAAAAAAAAAAA